TGGAACAAGAAAAAGAGAAAGAGGTAAGAGAACAGATGTAATAATATAATTGTGAATATCTCCTGCACGTAAATCTATATAGATTTTGAAAATGTTGCACGATTTTGTGTGGGGTTATCTGTACTGTAGAAAGAAAAGTATAATTTCAAATACCAAAATTAAAGATGCCTTGTACGATGGAAATTACTGAAACAATGGCTACGCAACATTGCATTTAGGTAAATGCTATACAAAATATCATAAATTTGAAAATATAAATAAATTTCATAGACTCCTTACACACATGGAGGTATTAACATTATAGTCAAAATATCACTGGACACTTACAGCTGGCAAGCAGCGGTGTTCATATTGATCAAAGAATGGGCACATGAACTGGCCGGGAAGACAAGGAACGCCCGTGAACATGTGACAGCCTTCTGGTGGGTATTCATCTGATGCACCTTCACCACAATCATTATCTCCATCACACACCCACTTCTGAGGGATGCAGCGCCCTGTGCCATTACATTTGAACTCGTCCTCTTCGCACTCCAAGATTGCTGTGGAAGGAAAGCCAACTTTTATAATCAGGTAGTTGTCTTTACGGCATTGGGATATGACATATCCAGTATTATTGTCATTAGAAATTATTTGGAAACCATGAAAGTAGAAACAGGGCAGCAGAGGGAGAAGAGAATGATTAAAGGCTCACAGGTCTAAAGATACTCAATGGGTGTCATAGAGAAAAGGCAATGCAAGCACCATAGTGTATTACCAAATTAGGGTATACATCCAAAGGCACCTCTTCACCTGAACGAGACCAATTCAGCCTTAGCTGTGGACTGCAGTAAGCAAGAAGGCTGTGACAAGTAACTCAACTCCCTATCCCCTGCTCATGAAGTTGGATAGTAACATCTAGCAACTATGGAGGTTTCTCAAGACCCGATATGGGCTAACCAAGTATAAGGGAGAAGGCAGATAAACCCACTGGGTGGAAAGAAGCTTATTATCAACCTTGAATTTATCCAGTTTCATACTGTGAATAGGAAAAACTATAATATTCATCTCACCACTGCCACCTGTGTAACAAACTAGATGCAATTACTCTACTTATTTCTATATACACACAGCTAATACTTGCCTGTGTGTTGCCTAGAACTTACTCAAACTGATAAAGTATCTAAATACTAAATCACTATGGTTGAGAAGACAACAGACTATAAACCAATCTAAAATTTCTACGACCGGGTGTTTGACAAGAAAACAGAGAACCTGGATGGGGAAGGACGAAAAATAAAGAGTGACAGAAAAAGAAAGTGGGAACGGTTACTTACCACAGTCATCTGGTTCATCTGATCCATCTGCGCAGTCTTTGTGTGTATCACAGTGCCAGATATGAGGTATGCAGTTTCCGTCCGCACAAGTGAACTGACCTGAAGTGCAGGAAGAGTAACATTATTGAATTTTTGAATAATTTTCTGTCTCACCTTAACTGTTAACAAATTTTGCTTCTTTATAGTCAAACACCATCTCAAGTACATCACATTTGTAAAAGGACCATTTCTATAATTTGATAACTTCAGACAAATATTACTTTTTAATCACTTAAGTATTACAGATGAAAGCCCTTTTATCCTCAAAGTTTATAAACTCTTATAAACATTATTAATATTTGTAATTCCTCATTAATACAAACTAGCACCATTTGTAATTAAATAAAAATTGCAGATGAAAGTTATTTCGCAATCAAAGTTCATCATAAAGGTTAGAAAACTTACCCTCTAGACACGTGTAGTTGCAAGACATCTCGTCACTGGGAGGTAAGGTAGAGTTGCCGTCCTTGCAATCGTCATCGGCATCACACACAAATACTGCTGCAATGCACCGTCCATTTCGGCACTGATGTGTTCCAGCTGGACAAGACGTCTCTGCTGGGGCTGTCACTGAAAAGGACAGTTCATTCTTTATACGTTGAAAACTGCTATTTCTGTTCTTCAGTAACTTTCATTCACCATACAAGAAAACAATATGATTTTTCTTTCTTATTTCTCTCACCATTATTTTATTCTTTGAATATTTATTGTAGTAATAGTACTAATCCCGAATATGAGTGATATTTCTTAAGAACTTTCTCTTCAGTCTCTAAATATTGCATACTTCAAGTATTTACAAAGCAAGAGAGATTTTCATTACCTTATCCCTATAATGCATTAACAATTTAATCTAAAGTACTACAAAGTATTCTCAACTGATAACAACTAGATCCAGATTTCATATCTGAAATACTTACAAAATGCTAATCGATTTAGTATATAACTTAATCAATAACTGTGAACTGGCTGTATCTACAACAGCTTCCATTATTTTCTTGTCACAGTCCCTTTCTCTTTCTATATTTCTCCCCCCCCCCCCCCTCTCTCTCTCTCTCTCTCTCTCTCTCTCTCTCTCTCTCTCTCTCTCTCTCTCTCTCTCTCTCTCTCTCTCTCTCTCTCTCTCTCTCTCTCTCTCTTACTTTATC